CCAAAAATATTCTGCCTTTAACCCATCTCGACTACCTAAATACATTTCTTCTGAACCCTTTATTGTTTTCTTTGTTTTCTCTTATAAAATGTAAAATATTTTAATCCAATAATCATCTCGAAGTAATTTTGGTCTTATACTTGATCAAATTAATATCTTATCGAGTTTATTTTCTTAAAAAAATTATTTTAAAAAAACAAAGTAGTTTTTTTTTTCCAAATTTAACAGATCATAATTTATAGATTAAAGAAAAAAATGTTTTAAAAGGTCTTCATGGGTTTTTTAATCCTTAGTATTTTCCTAAACTACCGTATTCATATTTTGTAATTAATTCCTGATCTTATCATCCAATTATTATATCTATTATTTATTTTAATTTTCTAATTCGATTAATTTATTCTTCTAAAATAATTGAGCGGTATTTTCCTCTTTTATCGACTCTGATAACGATGCTAATTATTAATCATTTTTTTAAATAAATTAATCCATTCTTTAATTTTATTTTTCAATTAATAATTCTCTTGCATTTATTTCATCATTTATTTTTGATATTAACTCTTCTTTTTATAATTAAGTTTATATAGTTTATTATGTATCTACTTCTCTAACTTTTTCTGTTAATTACTCAACTTTTTATTCACAATTTATAATTTATGTTTCGATACTATTTGTTAAAGATTATAGTTTATCTTAGACTACAGAAGATTTTTCTCTTTCTTTTAATTCTGACTATACATCATCAATTTATTAATTCAACTCATTATATTTTGTAGTTAATTATTCCAATCGTATTTCACTAGACTGAGTTAATTCCAATAAATTTTACTTAAGTTCATTATTTTTAGTTGTTTCTTTATTAAATTATTCAACAAATTCTTATTCTTATTTAAAGAATTTTTGATTCATATTTTGTTCTAAATCAAAAATTTTTTACTGAATTTATTTAATTTCTTACTTTTCCTCATTAATTTTTAGCTACAATTCTTCTTTTTGTTTGGTAATTAATAACAATTATTTCTCATTTTCATCAGCCTTTATCAATTTCCTCATTTTTTCTAAATTTATTTCATATTATTTAAATTATTATTAGAGTAAAGTATATTTAACATTATCGGTATCATTTTTTCCTTCTAATTCAATAAATTATTCTAGTTAACCCTTTTACTCAAGCTATTATACTTCTTTCTATAATTCTATTTGAAATTCAACTGATTCAGAATGTATTTATAAATATTACTCTTACAATTAACATTTCGATATAAACTCGTGTATTTCAGGAGTTATTTTAACATCAGCTTATGGATTATTTCCTATTTCTTTATTATCTATAATATATTCAAAACAAATTACCTTGTTATTCTTAAATAATAGTCATCAATTATTACTTGCAAAGTAAATCATGCTTGATAAGGGTTTCTAATTTTGATTTGACATTCTGATAAAATAATTAATCAAGTCTATCTTGTTTCTCCTATTACTAAAGGATATGTTTATTTTTATCTTATTAACTTAATAAATCAATCATCTTTTCAACTTATTTTTCATCTAATTCAAATATCTATTTATTCTCTAATTTTAGGAAATCTTAAAATTCTTAATTATTTTAAATAAGCTATTCATCTATAGATGACAACATTTCTGATAATTAATTATGATAATGGTTTTTTAGTTATTTGATTTCTTATATAACCATTTTAAATGTTTTTTCTCTTTTAAAATTATGTTTAGAAATTAAATCTTCTGATTCTCCAATAAGAGTATTCCACATATTATTTGCTTCTTTTAAGCTAATATATTGAATAGGGTTTTCTTGAATACATTCTACGCATGCCAATCGACCGAATTTAGGCTCATTATAATTAACATTTAACATAATTATTTCTTTGTTATGCTTATTGCATATCTAATTGAGACATGGAGTTTTCTAATAATATCAATAAATTAATTACATGTTAATCAAATTCTTTTGCAGGCGTTTCGTTTATTTTGGCCTATTAAGTGATTGGTATACTTGATCTTATTTAATCTATGGATTCCATAATTTATATAAAATTTTATGATTTTGACTAAGATTATAATGATTCATAAATTAATTAAACAAGGGCCACATCTTTTTCCTTATAGGTTTGTTATTTCGGTATATTATAACTAAAATTTCCTATATAATTTTTTGATAGAATTTGAATTTCCTCATCATAATTTTTGATTTCTAACTTT